TCTTTCGCTGGAGGCATCTCTCAATCCACGTCCGAGCGTGTTTTTTGGAGCAGCCCTGCTGTTCTTCAGCTTCGCTTGCCGGGACGATCATGCCAGCTGCCTGGTGCGCTTGTCGCAGGTCTTTGATGAAACAGACGACGTCAATCTTGCTTCAAGCTTGGAGCGCCGTGGCGCGCAGTTTAAAGGGTTGCACTCGATTTGGGTCGTTTCATGTTTGTTGATAGGGATACCTTTTTGGATGTTGTTTCAAGGGGAGATCCATGACACTGCCTAGTCTTTTGGCCCCTATTGAAGCACCCCCAGCGCTAGCCCCTTTGCCAACATGGTAAGCAACACAGGAGGCGATCTCAGAGGCAAGGTTCTGAGTCAGCTGAGGTTCTGAGTTGGCCTTCATATGCCTTTTCTTGGCCCGCTGAAAATCAGCCCGCCAACTTATCTCAACCCGCCCCAGAAGGGGATGGTTGACGGGGCGGAGGTGCCAGATGGCGCCAGATGGCCGGAGATCGAAAAGGAGGAGGGTCGGAGATCGCAAGTGCGAGATGTGGCTGGCCCCGAAGTGCGACGCGTGGGTTTGAAAAGTTATCGTTGATTCGCTCCGAAATGACGCATGCTTGTGGAGTGGGCAGGCAGTCACATAGTTTTCTGTCCGGAGAGCTTACATTACATTTCCTTCGTCATCAATTCAACCAGTCCGCAAAAACATATGGGTGTGGCTCAAAATTAAAGAGGAGGGGCACAACGCAGGTTTTGGTCCATGTTTCCACTTACCAGGGCAAGCCATATTGAAATTTCGGTTTTTTGAGCCACAGCCATATTAGTATACTGGATTGTTTCGTGCACACGAACTTCTGGCAGGAATGAATCCGCTTCGACTCCTGGCATTTCCGCTGCATGCGTTGGGCCAGGTGCAGCTGCGCGCAGGACGCCTTTGGTGGCAGTTTCAGCGTGCTTGCGCGATTGCAACGGGGGAGTCTGGCCATGTTGAGGTCAGGGTGTTCTACCCCAACGCCTCCAGCCCCCCCAACCCCACTTTGCTTGATTCGAACGGGAAGCCGCGGGTCAGAAAGGAAACCATCCCTTTGTGGTTTGGGCATAGATGCTCAGACGACTGGTGGTTGAATGAAAGAACTTGCAGAGGAGAGGCGCCAAGAAACTCTTGGGTCCTTCAGATGAGTTGAAGGGATGTACTTAGCCCTCCTGGCATTTGATGGTTCAACGGCATGCCTCGCTTCTGGACAAACCACGGCACGCCGCGAAGCCTTGGCAGCGTGTTGGCAGACTTGCAGGCGGATGCTTTTCTGATACTTGTGCCGCTGGCCTGCGCTGATCAGGTTTGAGAGATAGATTCTCACGGCACGGCAGCGAATGAGCCAATATGAGTTGGATTCCTTTGTAGCATTGACAATCCCAGACAGGTTGGATGCTAGTTCATGTACGAGGGTCTCGGAGGTTTGAATGCTCTCCGAATTTTCTTAGGTTGAAGACCACTCGGCCACCCTCTCCAATGTCCATGTGTGTGAATTGAGCCCAAGGAAAAAGCCCGCAAGCCTACGGCATATCAGCATGACTCACTAAGCCAGCATGTGTCCGGTTCAACTTGTGGCGCTTGAAGTCAAGTCAGGTTCGAACAGTCAAACCGGCTGGTCGCCACTCTTCACCCTGGGTGCACTTCGAAACTCATGGGCGACTAGCCTGTCCCACATCCCGCATGGATGCCGTGGGTGAGATCGTGGAGTCCGCGGGGCAGCCGAGACCGGGCCATATTCACAATTTTCGCGGAAGGGATTCGAAGCATCTGAGTTGGGTCAACCATTCTGAGGGTTTCCCTTTGGAGTCGGGGACCGGGGCCCCAAACAAGTACCAAGCCACCAGATGCAATTTGGGTGCGCTTTATTCAGGGCATCTCCCCAAATGGTCCCTTTGAACCCTAGGGTTTTCGCCAGCGCCGGAGCCGTTAGCGTTAGTTCCGAATGCCTATAAAGGTTCAATTCCCACCTTTGTCGAGGGTCTTTGCAGGCTCGATTCCACGTTTCAAATACTCGGACACTTCAAGCATGTTACTCCTGATGCAGGGGATACGTGCAAAACAGCGAAGCGGGCCGTTTGGAGTTTTTTTGGTCAAAGTTCGTTGGAGTTTTGCTTCCTGCATCTGAAGCGATCTGCTTGGCTTCTGCTGGCTTGCGTGCGCAGCTTTCTGAGGTCAAGTCTTGGCCAGGTGGTCAATTGTTGCTTGATTCTTGATGATTTGCTTGCTTGGTTACATGTTTGGCAGCGGGCCGATCCGTCGGCGCGTTCTTTCCAGTTGGTTGATCAGTCAGATGCGCGGGAACGAGGGCCGGGCCAACTCATGAGGTCGCACGTGCTTCTTTTCCTGCATGTTGGCATCACATGAAGGGACGTGAGATTGCTGGCCGGGCCACGCATGATTTCTGCAAGCAGCTACCCTTCCTCCCACAAACATGGCATCCATGGGAGGGTACCTGGAAGATCAGTTTCCTCTTAAAGGGACCCCTGGGAGGTCATGTAAAGGTACTGCTAGCCAGTGGCTCATGCAGCTTTGGGACATGGGGCACGGATGGCAAGGTGCGAGCAGATGTGCGCGCGCGGCTTTTGGATTTGCTCGACGAGGCTGGTTTGCAAGCTTCATTCAACGCCACACTTGAATGCCTCCTTTGCATGTTTCTTCCACGCGGTGCGTCCGCAAGTGCTGAGCGAAGCCAAGCAGAAGTTTACGGTCAGCGGGTTCATGCACAGGTAAACATTCAGGCCGGAGACGTTCCAAGTTTCCTGCCGAGAGTTCTCGTACAGCTTTGTCTGGGGTTGTTACCTTGGACATGCAGGGGTTGTTGCTCTCTTTCTTTCCCTCACATAACATGGATTGCCGCCTGACAAGGATGGAAACAGCTAGCCACAAGCGGATTGTTTTGAGGCAGCCTCTATCAATACCCCTAAGTGGGACATGTGGAGAGTGAATTTCCTTGCCATACGACTTCTTCATTTGGAAGGGTGCTGCAGCCTGACCATCGATGGCCTACCGGCGAGGTGTCAGGGCGGAAAGTCTTGCTGCTGGACAGCACAATCGTGGCGGCCCCGGGCCGTGGGTCTCCGTATCAGTGGGAGGGTCTTGAAAACTAGGTCCCCCAGTGCCCTTGTGCCAACTTTTTGGGTTGGGAGGGTTCGCCTACTAAAAGAACGACTACAGAAAAAAGTAGGTACCCTTATTCCAACCTTTCTACTGGAGGACCTAGAGAACAGATCTCTTGTTCGGCGTCCCTTTGAGAAATGGCTGGGTTTGGCGTGCCCTTTCTTCGGCCTCTGCTGGCCAAAGGCCGCAGGAGCCCGTGGCTGGAGCGCTCCAAGAGGGAAGCAGAGCTCGCAACGGAGAGGAAAGGAAAGGAAAGGAACCAGGGATGAGCCCAGAGAATCACTCTGCTCCTTTAGTCCTTCCATGCAAGCTCTACGTGACGGATGTCACGGCCTTCGCCCAAAAAAAGGCTTCGCCGCATTGCCATGATCTTCTTGGAGGTCGCTCCCCCTGAAAATCTCTCAGGCCCTCCACCGCGGAAAGTGGGGCGGGCCCCCAAGCCCCCCAAGCCGCCGCCGCCGAGGTGGGGCCTTTGGATTTGATCGTGAGCCCCGGAGACCTGAAGGACCACGGGGTCCAGACATGGCGCGCCCGGGCCTTCCGCGCTCGGGGGGAGGCTTGGGAGGGTCGAAGGGGCTCCGGTCTGGCGCTTGGGGTGGTGTTGTGGTTTCTGCAGGAGGTGGGTGGTTGCAGGGTGTGAAATGTGGACGGAGCTCTTTTTCCCTTCATGTCCGGGATGTGGAGTTTCTGAAAAGAAAGGGGGAGGTTGTGCCTCTTTGAATCAGGATGGATGTCTGGAAATGTGTTGTCAAGCTGTTGGGGCGCGCCATCAGCCCTACCGTGAGTTTGGGAGATTGTGAAGGCTGGTGAAGGGCCGAAAGGTCAACCCACGGCACCTTTCTTTTTGCGGGTGATCGCAGCGATCAGAGCGCCAGGGACAAGCTGTCAGACCAAACCGTCGGCTCCTGAGTTTGGAGCGTTAGGACTGAAAAGCGCCGATGCTGGAACCTGGGAAACTCGCAGGGGTTCCCATTTCCAGCATTCTTGGGACAAAGTCTTGACCAAGTTCAGAAGCACTGCAACAATAGCAACGTGGAAGCGTTCCAGAGGTCCCAGTGCCCAGGGCTCTCTCCAAGCATCTGACCGGCCTTTTTGAGATTTGCTGATCACCACATTCCGCTTTTTTTTCTCGTACTATCCCCTTTGTGGGTTTGATCGTGGGCAGGTTTTCAACGTAAGAAAACATGGGTTTGGTAAAGCTGACATTTTTGGATTTGAGGAGCAGGCCCAAATCCAACAACCTTCAACCAGCGCGGGGATAGCAACCAACCCTGTGAGCCAGATTCAGATGGGTATGGGTCAAAATTGAAGCACCAGGAATCGGACCGCAGGTTGGTCCAGGTCTCCATTTACCACGGCAAGCCATTTTGGGGTTGCCCTATTTTTGACCCAAAGCCATACTAACCAGAGACTTCTAGCTCGGATCCTCACTCTCAGAGACCCTGAGTGCCTTGCTATGGCTCCATTCACCCCTGCCGTGATGATCGGCTCACGTCTGACATGGTCAACTCCGAAGCAAGGGAGGCCAAGAAATCCGACAAGGAGCCACGAATGCCCATTGGCGACCAAAACAGATCGCTGCACCGAGAGAACGCTGACCCGTGAGGTCTCCACCGATTGCTCGCAAATGATCTTCCTGGTGCGCTGTGCACACGTTGCCGGGGGGCCCAAACCCGACATTGGATGCACTTGTTGGATTTTTTATTGGGTGCTCCACTTCCAAGCGCCCTCGCGGGTTTGCCGCGCGAACTAGGCAGGTTGCTGCCTTTGGGGCTTGCATCGATCAGCCTTGGCGGGTGTAGACGAGGATGCGAAGTCCAAGGAAAGGTCTTTAAGATGAGGCTCATTCCTGTTCATGGTGTGTGAGTTTGATGGAAGGCAGGTTTTCAGGGACTGAGGGCAGAATACACATGTTGGGCTGTATGCCGTTGGGGGGAGGGCCCTTATCCGGCAAAAGTTCCTTGTTGCCGAAATGCAGAGGATATTGAGGCTGTGTGGAAGATGGATCCTCCCAACGAGCTCGTAGCAAGGAGCTGGTCGACATGATCGCAAAGCAGATCTTGGCCGATGAGAGGGAGCAGAAGGACGGACCCGCCGTATCGATTCGATCCAGCCTGCCAGATATTGTCGAAGCAGTTGCAGAAACTATGGTGACACAACTTGTTCTTTGCCCTGAAGATTTCATCTCTTTGCAGAGAGAGCCCTTTTGTGCAAATTTGCAGGTATGCTCAATACTACTCATGCTAGGTTTCGACCATGGCCAGAGCAGTAACTACTTTGCGGCAATGGTAACACGCTGGATGCCATGCTGTGTGATGTAATGCAAATGCTGCTTGAGGGATATTAACTTGTTTGTCAGAATTATATTAAATGCTCTTCGCCCTGAACCTCGAATGAATGATACCTATCTTGAGATTTCTGGGATTCTCGTGCATGTTGCTTTCTGCAGGGATGCCATTTGCCTGAAGCATTGTTTTGTTGCAGTCACACAAGCAGAGTCGTGCTTCTTGCCAGGTGCGCAAGTACCTTTGAACCATCATTTTTGCTTGGGTAACTTCTAATGTGGCTTCCATAAGATCCGAGGATGACGCAGTCCTTACACTTCCCCATCAAAAGTGGCTTTAAACATCACCTTTGCTGCCAATTTCATGTGGGGTGATTTTGACAGGTTGGACATATGGGGATTCCCGTTGATGGTGCTTGATAATTGGGGTGATGTCTGGTTGGAAACATGGATTGATGTTTGGTTGAGGGTACGCCATTCAGGTTTCTTTGAAGGGAACCCAGAAGGCAAATGTGGGGCGTCCTTTGTTTTGAGACAACCCCCTATTGAAATTCCCTGTCACCAGCAGAGGGGGGGTTAAAGGGTGAAACCCGCTGCCGGTTCCGGAAAAGCCCGCCTGCTGCGCGCTCGCGCGCGCGTTTTTGAAAGCGAGGACCGCAGCTACGTGGCCGTCTTCGTGCCGGTGAAGACGGAGACCTGCATCCAGCGCCTCCAGGGCAGCAATGCCGGGACACCTGAGACCGAGCCCCTGTGTGTGTGTGTGTTTTTTTTTTGGGGGTGGGGGGAGTTTTCTTTTGTTGTGTGGGGGGGGGGGAGGGGCGTTTTTTTTTGTTGGGGGGGGCGTGTTTTTGTTGGGGGGGAGGGGCTTTTTTTGTTGTTGGGGGGTGGGGGGTGGGGGGGCGTTATTTTGGAGAAAGCACTGGCTATTTTTGAGGCGGGTTGTAAGGACACCCAAGGGAACATGCACTTTCCTCTTCCCCCGAAAAAAAGGTACATCTGGTTACGTGTCTAGTTGCGGGAAGTCCAGTGACGTCCTAAGTTGTGCTCTTTGTGTCCCTCTCCGAAGGCTCTTTGGGTTTCAGCTCCCATGAAGGGCTTCGGTGGCCTATCTGTCAACACCGAAACGACTTTCTCCTTTTTGGGAAACCGACTGCGCGATCCGCAAGTACTGCCGTGGCGATATCCTACCAGTATTTATTTTACTGGAGAGATTTGCAGATCGCACACGGCACAGCGTGGTGTTTTGGGGACTTGGAATCATTTGGCCATGGGTCAAACACCAGTGAACATCCCAATCCCCACTAAAATAGGCTAAAATGGGTGGTGACCTACCCCAAAATGGTACCATTGGTTTTGACCCACAGCCATTTGGGAATCAGATGCCCTTGAGGATGGGTTCTCAAAGTTGCTCATGGGCCCCCACGTGTGGCTACACCTTGGAACTTCAAAGCCACACGTGTGTGGCTGTGTCGGTTTTGTGGGGACCCCGAAAAGTGTTTGTCGTCCTTTTGGTTTCGCTTTAAAAGCCACAAGAACAGGATACCCTTGAAAAAAAGACAGACCCATGTAGCAGATTCGAATGACCTTGGGGCTGTCAATGCACCTGAGACTTCGTCTCAGGTCAAGGCCAACGTGCGCATTGCGGAGTGTGCCATTCACCACTTCCCTTCGGATAAGGACAGCGCTGAGTGTTCCATATCCGCCGATTGCTGAAGCCTCGACTCGAGCCTGGGCGGTGTAACCCCTATTTCACCATCTCAGAAGGACAAGAGCCGTTTGGAATCCCCGAATGTTGCCCAAGCCGGCGTCCACTGGAGTCCCGGGTTGAAGCCGAACCACACGGTAAACCCGGAATGATCACTAAGCAGCTTCAACAGCAAAGCATGATGGACAGAATCTTCCGTACGATCGGCCAAGAGTTTGTCGCACCACAGGATGTCCTTTCCATGGAGATGTTGACAGCGTGCAGCCCTCGGTTGTTCCTAGCTTCCGCAGTGCCTTGGGCTGGTTTGGATAAAGAGCAACATATCCCCGAGTGGGCGCCGTTTCGACCCCTTGCCCGTTTTTGCGCATGTTTTTTGGCATCAAGGACACAGCTTCTCCATTTGAAGAAGCCTCCCATACCTGCAGGAAGCCTTCCTGAAGTCTTGACGAACGGATCTTGAGTGCGGATGCGTGGACCGTGACTCCACACGCGAAACCGGTCCCGTGTTTGAGGGGATCTCGTCAGGATGCCTCTGTGACATTCTGATGTGGCCCTTCGCTCCCGCCTGGGCCATTCCTTTTCCTAAAGCGGGCTGAGATGTGGGTCAACCGACCCCTTTACTTTGTGTCGATAGGGAGGGTCATCAACCTCTCAATAGCTTTAGACCACCAACATAAGGTTCCTAAGTATGACCTCTTTGCAGTTGGTATTCAAAGGAGAAGAAGAAAGACCCAAAAGGGCGGTTCCTAGCTTGAGAAACGCCCAGTTGTTCGAGGCTAAAGGACTTTCATTGCAGCGGGGATCCCTCCGCGCCCTACTACGCTGCGCTGGCGTTGATGCCGGGGCTCCAAGGAGCTTGGCGAATCGAAAAGAAGGTGCCTGAAACTCACTGCCAAGCAAACGCGGATGTTTGTGTCGCGGGTACTCTTGTCAGGCTGGTTGAAAGGAAAGGCAACAGGACAAGCACCATTTGAGGGTCCCCTGTTTTGCTCCCTTTCGCGTGAGGTCTGCCCAAATTTCTCAATTTCGGGATCAGCCTTGGGGGCACGTGTCTGACCTTGACCAATGAGCCTGTCAAATGGCAGGTTGGACCAAGCGTCGAAAGGACAGTAGCCCCCATCAAGGCTTCCAGCCCATTTACAGGCCACAACCAGACCTCCCCTTACTGGCATGATGGAGTCTCACTGGCATGTTCGTCCAGCATCTAAAAGGAGTCTAAATCGGTTTGCCTTGAATGACAATAACCAAGTCACCAAATGATTTGGGAGCGCAAAAGGTAGTCCAGTCTGTCTGGGTTCTTGGGTGAGGTTGGCAATCGTCGAAGGACCAGGTTTCAGAAGGGAGGAGCAGGCGAGGAGTAGAGTGAACAAGCCCAAGGGAGGATACTCCACAGATCCATCAAAACGTTTCTCTTGAGGTGTCTGTGGGATAGAACAAGTTAGGCTCTAGCGCAAAAGAAGTAAAATAACGAGCGCAACAGAAGGCCGGTTGGTCAGGGCTCACGAACCATTCCATAGGGCTGGTCCTGGAGCCCTCAATGGCAAGATCAGGTTCTTCAAGTTGCTGCAGAGAATATCTTTGATTTTCCATTGTTGGTTTTAAAGGGAACCTATGACTACCAAGGGACTTAAGCAAATAGAGGGCTTTCTGTGAATGTATCCACGGCCCACGGAAGTTTTGACCGTGAGACATCAGCGATTGGGTCTTCCCCATCTACAGATGGCCTCAAATCCCTTTGCCCGGATTTGTGATTCCACATCCAGAATATCCGACTGCACTGCGCCGCGTTCTTGCTGGATGTCCCAATTCCCAGCAAGGAGCCCATAGCACAATTTTGTGCCACTCGCATTTTCAGCATGTCTTTGTTGGATGCAGTCAGTTCCCAGCATCGAGCCCATGGTGCCAACTAGTTTGGACCCTTGCAGAAGGTCTCGACCGACTTTCTCGGTTTTTGGGCGACTTCTTCCCTGGATGCCCGCCCCGGGCAGCTTTCGGTTGCGGCAGCTCAGGTCGCTGCAGCAGAAGTTTGGCACCATTCCCACGGTGCACGCCATCGGCGCTGCCGGGCATCCAGGGGCATTGCTTGCGCGCTCGCGGTATGCGGCGGCAGGTGGAAGGCGCTAGGCGGTAGGCGGTAGGCGGTACGTGGCAACGGCGAGTTGGGTTGGCGTTTTGGGTTGGCGAGCTTGGAAGTCAGAGGAAGGGAAGACAAAGAAAAAGGGGATGAGGCTGGGTCGATACTACTAAGAGTTCGGAAGGACACTGGGCCACTCACTGCGTGGAAGTAGTTTTGACCATGCTTCAGATGAATTCTTCAGCTTCATGTTCTGCCGGGTGCGTCTCTGGTGTTTCCATTTCTTGGGTTTTCTTGTAGGCCGCCAGAGATTCCCTGACCGGCCTCGGTGACCTTCCTGGGCCATGCCCGCAGTTTTGCGGGCCATTCGAGGCGGGGAAGGTGGTAGTGGACAACATCCTTCGGCTGCGGAAGGAGGGACAGGCTGGACAGGCGCGGAATCGGAGACGGGGTATGGGTGAAGGGGAGACACAAGTTGAAAAGCCAGGATTTTGCGGCTGAAATACTTCGATGCCTTTGTGGATAAAGTGCTGGGAGATTCAATAGGGCATGGGACAACCGGCAAACTCAGTAGCTGATGTTTCGGAGTGACTGGCCCCCTGGACCTTTGTCCAAGTCCGTGGCAGAGTTTCCGATGCTCAGGTTGGAAGTGGGCCAAACAAAATATATGTTGTATGAGTCCTTGGATGATGGCATTCAAATGACTTATGCACGACTAGATGGGGCCAGTGCCGCAATTTTCCGCAAACGATTTTTTCACCCCTTCAGCGATTTACATCACAGCCTTGTTGCAACTAGATGAGCTGGCTCATGATTCTGGAGAAAGGCCTTAGGAGTATGTTTCTGCACAACCAGCAGAACTATGGCAGGCGATGGTTTGTTTCCCTCTCGCGCGGCTCAATCCCAGCACCGGCATTCTTCTTGGCCAAGCGTGCCCTCTTTCGACAGACGTTTGGTGGATGCTAAGCCTAGGTTGCCGCATTCCCAAACATGAGCACTCCTTCGAGTACTATTTGAGCACTCATTTGGGCTTGGTGACAGGACAGCCAGGATGAAGAGTCCCCTACCCAGTTGCCCAGTGGTGCCCACATTTCCTTTTTGGGGAAGGGTTCCCCTTCAAAGTCAAAACCAACCAAAAAACGGATGCCCATCCTTTTTTCCCCATGGAAATCCACTGATTTGAGCCTATTGCAAGACACACGGGACTGCGTCAAAATTAAAAGCACCAGGGTATGGACCGCAGGTTCTAGTCCTTGGTGCCATTTAGGGCTCCAAATGGTACACCACAGCCCACTGGTGCGATCCCATGGCCCCCCCCCCCCCGCTGCGACGAAGGCGAAGAAGCAGACCGAGCCGGCCTTGCGGCCGGGGATACCCCCAGCTGCGGCACCCCCGCGGGGCGCGGCGGCGGTGAGGTGCGCTTGGGCTTCGGTTTCAATGATTCAAGCGGTCTCCTCTCGAGTCATTTTCCGGGGCCAGGACCTCTAGAAGAACATGCATCGGATTCAACAGGGCTCCTTAGAAGAAATTCATTTTGCAACCATTTGAAATATGGTGCTTTTTCAACACCAAGATAAAGGGAAACCACCATTGACAAGGCAATGTTCGGGTGTATAATGTAAGGATCCCTGCAAGATGGCTATGAATTTTCAGAGTTGGAACCACCTGAAAAGTGGTTGATGGAGATGGGGGCTCAGTAGCTCCAGTAGACACGCAGAAGCAGAGATGCAGCAGACTTCGGCGTGCCCAGAAGGAGAATCCCCACCTGAATGATGCCCACCCCAAATCCCTAAGAAGGGCATCCTTTGGAAGTTGCATGTGACACCAGTGTGTTTGACGGACTCAGTTCTTCATTGCTTCCGCTTTGCCCCGACACAGACACCCTCAAGGCCCTGTCATCCCATCGTCTCAAATCTAAATTCACGTCAAGGATCCTTCCAAACGATTTTACCTGCACTTTTTAGTTGACACATTGTGGTCGTTAGAGCGCATACGCACTTGTTCAACACTTTTTGTGTCTGGAATTTCCGAACACCTTCCAAAAACTTTTTGGATGCTGGGCAGAATTGCGGCCGTCCCCAACCAACAACTGTGTTTTTGTTTTGTTGCTTTCTTTTCAAGCCGCTCTCAAAGGGGGGGCACCCTCAACCCCCCCCCCCCCCCTTCGCCACCTCTCAGTTGACTGAGCCAACTCCGGCTGGTCGAGCCTTTTTGCGCCAGGAAGGAGGAGGCCTCCGCCGCGCAGCCGCCGAAAGCCTCAGGGGACCGACTGTCACCTACTGTCAATCACATAGCCCACCTGGGTCCCCCAGCTAGGTGCCCTTTTACCCAGTTTTTTTGGGGAGAAGAGCAGACACCGCCTGTCCATCGACTCTGCTTGCATCTAAGATCTGGCTTGTAAATCGGAGGTTCGTTTGCGAGCTGCAACCCCCCACCCCTCCGAGTCAACGAGGTCTGTGGCTGCTGCTTCAGAGGCGGGGCGGGTACACAAGCTTCGGCTGAGGGCAATTCACACTCCGGGAGCATGTTTACAGGAGTATCCACATCCGGACGTCAATAATTTGTCCAAACCAGAAAGGCGCACCAAACCAAACCGGAAGGAAGACCCCGCCAAACCCGAGGAGCGCCATTTTGGCGAACCCCTCAGAAAACGAGGGGTGCCCCGCTCCCTTCGCTCCCCCCGTCTCCCCCCTTCGAGCACACGCCTGTGTGCAGGAGGGCCCCAAGATCAGCGAGGTGGCCCGGGGCCTCGGAAGCGGCTTTTTGGGCCAAAGGCCCCTGGCTTTTGCCTTCCACCAGCTCTTCTTTCTGCTTCTTCTTCTTCTTCTTCTACTTCTTCTACTTCTTCTACTTCTTTTTCCCCTATTCCCTCTTGGTCCTCTTCCTTTTACCAGCTTTTTCCATTGATTTCTCCCTCTTTCCGCTTGTCCTCTTCTTTCCCCTCGTCTTCCTGCCCCTGCCAACATCTCCCTCCCTCGGCCGGGGTGTTCACCGGAAGCCAAGCCTTTCGGGGGGTCCCATGAGCCAGCCATTCCAAAAAAAATCCCCCCGATCCCGCGCGTTTGGATCCCGTCCGCTTGGCCCGGGATCGGAGGTTCCGGTGAGCCACGTGCTCAACGCCAGAAGGGTAGACGATCCGGTTAGTAAGGGACAACCCCCCCAACCAGAAGTAGCTGCGGAAATCCGGCTTCTGAATTCTTGAAGCATGGTTCTGGGATGACCATTTTGATACCGATCGGTTTTGAGCAAGTGACTCAGGTCATCATCGACCGTCGGGTGGACCTCTTCTCAGTGCTCTGCTCGCAGTTCACCTACCAGGCGCTCGCTGCTTTTACGCCTCGGCGGCCTCGGACGGTCCCCATGTTGTTTTTTTTGGAGGGCTCGGTTTCCCGTTTTTTCGGGTTGGTTTTTGTTGAGAAACTGAAAGGACAACCAACATTACATCCTGCCTTAAGAAGACCTGACCCTGAAGCTTGCCCCTCCGCCCCCCCCCCCCATCCACCCCCGGGTGCCAGTGCTCCCAGCACATTTGAGGCTATGCGTTTGTGGCTGCCTGCCGCATGTCAAAAGGATCTGCCGATCTTCTCTCAAAGGCCTTGGTCAACGTGGAACAGCCCGCTTCGTACCCATTCTCCATGGCCTGTTAGGCCATTCTCGGGGCAGCCATTGATGTGTCAGGCCCTCATCGATGTGGCCTACGGCATCCGCAGAAACACGCCGTGCCCTCACGCGCAGCTTCGAAGTTTCAAGTGTGCGGCATGCTACCGACCCATTTCTCAGATCCCATTGAACGGGTTACCCCAACACATGTCTTCTGTTCTTGAAAAAACGAGGTGCTTTGCGGCTCTCGGCCCGATGCAAACGAAGAAGCGGCCATGGTTCAATTCCAATGGGATCCCATTTTGGGGTAGGTGAATTCACCACCCATTTTAGTCTATTTTAGTGCTTGGATTGGGTCCCGTTCACTGGGGGCTAATCGATTTGGATTTTGAAAAGCCCATGGCCAAGTCTCCTACCCGGACTCGACATCGACGCCTTCCGAGGATCGACATCAGCTCAGCCGCCTGGGCAAAGGTCGGGCATCCCCGGCTTCAGGTCTGAGGAGTTTGTAGCTGGGCCCACCTTTTTTTGTTCTCCTCATTTTTGGGTATCAAGTCAGAAAGGGGTGTTTCCTTTTACCACCTAGGGGGTGACTTTTGGTAAAATCATGGTGTCGATGTAAAGGAACCCCTGCTCAGATTGCACAAATTGCAACCTGCTGGTCAAATCGTTGGACTTCGAACAGCGTTGGCCCGCACTGTGCTGCTACTCAACAGGCAATTGGTGGTTTGTTGGGAGCTATGGAAAATCGGGTTCTTCCAAGATGGGTAGCCTTGTCAGGCTTAACCTCTAAATAATAGCAACCAACAGGGTCCACCCTTTTGAGAGACTCCCTGGTGGGCACGTTTGCTTCTGGCGAGGTGCGCTTATGAAATCAAGCGCTCGATCAAGGCCATAGAGGCTCCACTATTCGCTTGGTTCCTCTAAGAGTCCCATCTCCGCTTCAGATTTGGTGAAACTTGCAGACCCCTTCGGACCACCTTGCAAGGGAAGATATTTGGGGGTTGGTCAGTATTCCGTTCGGCCCGCAAGCTTTTCCCGTGTGGGACATGTCATTTTTTCTGGTGGGTTAGGACCTTTTCATCAACCCCCATTCAAAGTGAGGAGATCGGGTCCACAGAGGGGCTGTATCTATAGGTGTCCTTTTTGGTTGTTTTGGTCAAACAATAGATGGTGATTCCTTGTTTACCTGGTGGTTTAATCATCTACCAGGGCCATCTAGTTCCCCTAAAGGACACCTATGGAGGTCTCAACTCTTGCGGCAGTCCCGGAGCAGCTCTAGCTCGCTTGTGCGGCTTTCTCCGGATGACCCCTTCTACCAGGAGGGGGAACACAGAATCGGACATGCTTAAACAATGGACCAGAACACCCGTGGCCTGGCGCAAAAACTGGCACCCGGCGAGATCGGTATTCTTTTTTGGTTGCTTTGCGATGTGAGCAAATTTCGATCAAGTTTCGGTCAGGCAGTATTGCCTTGGTAGAACGCCTCGCACTCTGGACCTGTAAGTCCGATGCCCAGAGCTAGCCGTGTGCAAGAGATAACATGGCGAGCTTGGAGCTAGTGGATTCGTGCTCGCCTCGACACGCAGCAGGTCATGCAACAGAACAGAAGGCCTTATTTACCGGTAAGGATGCTGGGAGCTCTTGCTTACATGCCTCGGGCTTCTTTCGCAGGTTGAATGCAAGCAACCTTGGCCTGGTGGGGGCCCTAATTTCGAACACGAAATTCCACCAGCGCCGACTCACCAAGAATCCCAGTGTCCAAACAGCTACCTCCTCAAGTTGAAACAAAAACGCCAGGAATGGGGCCACAACACTCCTCTGGGCGAAACGAAAAACTGCTGCCTGTTGGAGGACCTGTCCTCATTTTTGTTCACCGGCACCTGGGATGTCATGCTTGTCTTCGAAGCCTTGCAGATCTGAATATCTGTATTTAGGGGGGTAGTGACCCTTTGTTGGTTGGGTATTTATGGCGCCAATTGCGCTTTTGGGGGTTGGTTAAATAAAAACCAAAAGGAGCACACTCATTTTGAGGGTCCCGTAGTTGCAGACGTCCGCATGTTGCACGTTCCCCGGCATAGCGCCTCCACTAAAAGCGTGTCGCTGTCACGCTTTGGAGGACATCCGAGACCTCCGTATCGACCGTCTAGGGCCGCTGCTCCAGGCGAGGGCACAAGTGAAAAGTCGGCTTGTTTGTTTGCTTGTTTGTTGGTTCGATTGCTTGCCAGTTTGTTCGATTGTTTGCCTGTTTGTTTGCTTGCCTGTTTGTTTGCTTGTTTGCCTGTTTGTTTGCTTGCCAGTTTGTTTGCTTGCTTGTTTGTTTTGATGCCTGCCTGCCTGCCTGCCTGCCTGCCTGCCTGCCTGCCTGCCTGCCTGCCTGCCTGCCTGCCTGCTTGCTTGCTTGCTTGCTTGCTTGCTTGCTTGCTTGCTTGCTTTCCTGGCCTAGTTTGGCTGGTTGAGCCTGTCTTCGTTGACATGTGACAACATGCTGGTCGCTCTGAGAAAGCTTCATTCCTTCTGCCTGCAACTTCAGAAATGGTTGTCAGGGCTGACTAAACTCATCATTCAGGGCTGACTAAACTCATCATTCATTGCAGTAGTGGGTTGCTCGTGCCTCATGATCTCTTCTTGTTAAGAGCATCTCCATCATTCATCAACCAGAGGGTGGTTGATCCTGGGAGAAGAAGGACAAGAGCAAGAACATAAAGGAAGAGAAAAACACGGAGGAATCTTGACAAACAACACCAACCATTCGCAAGTGACAAACATTGTTGGTAGTCAATTAGAGCCGCGGAGGACATGGTTAGTTGCCCGACCCAATATCCCAAGCAAACGGCCCACCTAGTTTCTCATATCAGATGTTTTTTGTTTTGTTTGTTTTGAACTCTACGGGATGTTTCCCTTTGGTTTCCCTTTAAAACAGGCACAACACAGGTACCAAGGGTTTCCTCCATTTCCCTTTGTGGATCCTCCAACAGTGGTTTCAACGGACACCATCAGTAAGCGGCAACTTTTGATTCGGGGAAATCCGGTGACCCGTGTCAAACACATGATCTCCCATGAAGGCCCAAATTTGGAACAAGCCATGGCCACCCCCAAATTTGTGAAACTCTTCGGCCCCAAAAAGGCGAAGCCATTGGTTCCCCGATCAGGACAAGGCCAAGGCAATCCAACAGACCTACTCGGAGAAGGCGCCACGCGAGCGAGAGAACCGGGCTGGGCGAAAAAAAAGAAACGGAATCACCTGACGGCCAACAGGAGCTCGGGGCATTTCTTTGTTGAAAAGAAGGGTGAACCAAAGAAGATGATTGAAAGAACACCCTGTTTGAACCATGATTGAATAAGAACTCAATCCAACCCCAGCGGTGGATGGCTCCCGGCTGGCCGGTCGAACATGAACCACCACTAATTGACAGGACTACTCACAAGCCAAGTGCCCAAACATCTTCCAACATGCTGAGCTCAGCATCAGATGCTTGGCAAAAACAACAACAGAGGGAATGAGTTTGCCTTGATTTCAAGAGTATGACGGCGCAGCTGGAAACAAAGCTTCTTGCCTCCCTGCACTTCGCAAATGTTGATGATGCTTTGGTCCACTCTGCCTGCAGTTTTTGTGGCAGAGTGGCCGAAGGACAATGTAAAGAGCGCCAACGAGATGGCAGAGTACATCAAGAAGTTCAAAACCGCACAGCCGCTTGGATAAAGTCGAGCTGCGCATGCACCTTTCCTGGACGCGAGAAAGCCATTGAGAATTTCCGCAACCCTTAAGCACAAGATGCTGGAAGTCACGCTCAAGTGTTGATCACTTAGCTCTAGTACTCCTTTGGCCTCCAGGGGGCCTGTCGCTGGATCATTTTTACCACTGGCTGTGATCGGGACGTTGACGCTTGATGGAAGTGCCGAACGCGTGGCTTTTGGTTGGTAAGGCGAGGTTCCCGTTGAGTGCGAAGCGGTGGGTGACATTTTCGTGGCCACCTGAGGTCGGCACATCCTTTGCTGGAGGTCCACATCAACCTGGCCCACGACCTGAACGAGAAGATCCAATCTGAGGCGTCCTTGGGTTTGGCACTCTCGGGCGGGGGGAGGGGGGTGCCGCCCTGTTGAGGAGCGCATAAGCTTGTCGTTTGGGATGAGCATCCATGTTCCTTCCAGGGATTTCCTCGTTTGGGATGAGCATCCATGTTCCTTCCAGGTGGACACCTGTATGCTAAATGCTCTGCCAGTATCCTTGAGTGCCATTCTGGCATGACTGCTTTCTGGGCGTATGATAAACGCCACAGAAGCACCGCAAAAAAGGTCTGCTTCGTATTGGAATGTAGGCTGTGGTTTCCATCAATGCTCGCCGGGGCCGCAAAGATGACGCTCAGAATTCTTGCCGGGTTGTTGTATTCAACTGCTGAGTTGGGCTAACAGATGTTGATATAGTCTCAGCCTGCCAGAAAATGCAGACCGTGCCCCTGGTGAAGAGGGGACAGCATTCCAGGCTAGTTGCTGTCAAGCTGTTAGGCAACTAGGCAATTTGCAACGGTGTGCATTTGACTGTCATCTACAGTAGCAGTAGCAGAAGAACAAGATGACATTCGGTACACAACATATCACCATCAGGAAGCGTAAAATGACTCACTCAAGTCTCACTGGGTGGTTCCTGCTTGGCTACCACCCATGACAGTTGGCACTAGAAATCAGCCGCCTCCGCAGGAGTACCGGCAGCTGCTGAAGCTTGAGGCGGGGTCACGAGTTCAAAGAGTCCGTCAGGCAACCGCGCCCAGAACCCGGAATTCCCATTGGTTGTTTTACCAAAAAGTTTTTTTTTTTTTTTTTTTTTTACTAAATAGTTCTTTAATAGGGGTGATAGTGAGGATAGTCAGGCCTACGCATTTTGATAGAACCACTGTATTCATCTCAGATGGGTGAGTCTTTTGAGGCAAATCGAAGGGGAAGGTTGAAGAGCGTCACTTCTACTCCTGTTTACCCATATGATAAAATAATAAACATGTATGCAAACTACTAGCAGTTGTTACCGTAGTCAACATAACCCTTGATAAACTATCAAATATGTTTAGCCCCAGTAGAAACAAAAGATATCCGATAAATCAGAACAGTTGACGATTTTTTTCGTGTTTGTGGTGCTCAGGTGCAAAGGTGAAGTTCCCAGAATCGCCTCAAGCTAGTCTGGATGTTTTTTTTTTTTTTTTTGTTTTTTTTTGCGTTGTGAATCGAGATCTTTGTTTAGATATTGGGGTTGTGGTGGCCCAATTTTTGGATTTCCATTTAAATGAGCTGCCAACATGAAGATTCCGGTTTCAGGATCGCTCAGCTGGCAAAGTATGATAGCCTGGCGTTCTTCCTACAAGGTGTGAGCAATCTGTCCAGCAACAAAGATCGGTTTGTCACCTTAGATAGGATCATGCACAATACAATGTGTGTATGGTCAGCGAATGATGATGCCGACCGCCTATATATATATATACATACACATTGACCTATTATCAGTGTTCTTGCTTTCCCGAATGATTTCCGCTTGGCAGGATTTAGGGTCCTTGTCGGAATCCTTCCGAGCCAGACAGCATTGAGGATTAACTCACACAGCATGATCCAGGATGCCTGACACATGCGCGATAGGTGCACTGCGTCCAACCACTTGTTGCATCAACACGCGAGGTAAATGCACAAGAGTGCCATGCTGCTAGCTTGCTTGCAGGGATCCTGGAACGCAACATGTTTGGGCACGTTTGCCTTGCCAAGGAAAAGCACGGACAGCAAGCATGGAATGATTGGTTTTCTGACCATGTTTAGGACTCTGCGTTGGGGGAAGCCTAATTGAAAGGTTGTGACACGCATACACCCATGCATTTCTTCTAGTGAAACATTGTAACAAAGCCATTTGTTCCCTGGTTCTGCTTCAATGACCGCACAAGAGGGAGACAACTGCCATCTTGAATGCAGTATATGTTTGTGGTGAACCCACATTTGTGCTGCGAAAAGCACAGCTGTACCCACAAGCAACATTTGCTTTGCACGTGTCCGTTACATGTTGAAGCATGCCTTTTGCGCAATAGCAAAGAAGCATATTGACATGTCATCAGCGCTATTATGCATTTTGCAGCAAGTTACGCACAATCGAGGCAAGAGTGGATGCATGTGGCAGGTGCCATTTTGCATCACACTTGTTTGCACAAAACATCAGATGCTGTTGATGCTGTTGAATGTTGGATCAGGTTGCAATTACTTGTGGCCTGCAATCACGTAAAATGCTTCCTTCAGAGGGCTGATCCGGCAAATCCTTTCAGATCAGCGATCCAGCCTTTTGCGAGGACGAGATCACCGCTCAAAGCACGAGCTCCCAGAGCTGTTTGGACGCAGTGCAGGCCAGTTTGAGTGCTGTTGAAGTGCAGAATATGGGCGGTTTTCCGTTTAGCTTCCCTTTAAACTGCCCTCCGAAAAGGGTTCCCTCAAAACCGCACACAACCATATTGTGAAGGCTCCTGATGCAATTGGCTGCCGGAAAGCATGTTTTGTCTGGCCTGGCCGGTTGCTGGGGAGACACTGGTGGTTGGCAGGCCATTATGGACGACCAGAAGCCCTTTCATGAGGCCCGGCACAGAGAGTGCCGATGCCCATTGACAGAGTTTTGGAGCGGGTTGATGAGACGAGCGGCCCGTTTGGCCGTGCACGTTTCATGCGAGGGTGCTGCGTTGCGACAAAAAACCGGGGGTGCTTGGACTGCGCTGGTGCTGCCAGTTGGACAATATTGCGGCCACCTGATCCGGGTTGAACAATCCAGGGCTGTCCAAATCAAGTTGCGGTTGGCCTGGTCTGCAGCCCGCGAGGCCTTGCGGCTCCTGTGCTTGCATTCGCTGGTCAACAACGGAATCAAGGTGCCCTTGCATCTTTTCCTGTCAGGGTGTCGCACGTGGAGCGCGAAGTCTTTGGCAAAGCCCTTTGGGATTCAAAAACCGGGTTTCTACGTTGCAGTGAAATGGGATCCCGACGAGCTGTAAAGCTGAAGGCGCGAGCTGCCCAAAGGCACAGCTCATGTCAAAGCTCACGAAGGGAGGGCAGGATCCATGCGACGATTCAGATGCAGGGCACAGGAGCGTCCTCATGTTTTTCGCCATAAATGCGAGACAGCGCGAGCATGGCCGGGCGGTTTCTCCTCCGGCTGAAGCAACGGAAACAGCCTCTTTTTGCTCGCGACGTGCGACGCGCCAGAAGCAGCAGCTGGACCCTCTGAAGTCGGTCTTCCTGCAGCGCGGCGCTCGGTTGAGTTGGAGCTCGGTTGGGTCAGCTCGGCGCGTGCGGGAAAATGCCAAATGCGTTGCAGGCAGAAGGGATGCTGTCAACTTGGAACATGTCTGTTGCGGTCGACTGATGCAGGCAAGCAGATCAGTACTCGCGCTTGCTCGATAGTTCCTTTCCATGAACCGGCATGCTTTGACCATCATGAAGCGAAGCATTGAGATGGGTGTGAATTTTAATATGGTGGACTATTTAGGGGATTTATGTCTACCGTCTACTTTTGCGGGGATTCCCTGATAGAATTCATAGCTGGATGTGTTGGCCGACCTGCCTCGAAATGTGACATACAGTGGTCACTCATTTCCTCATCACATTTGGTGCGCATGTTTGAAGACTGGCGCAGCATGTCAACACTTCCTCGGCAGGGAAGACACTCATGTCTTCCGCCAAGTGTTTCAGAATTGTGGCTCAAATTTCCCGTGGATCTGTTTTGCAGGCAGTTGGCCCATCCAGGGAGGGTTTCGTCCGGCCTTGCGCTCGGGCAAAGATCATGGCAACCTAAGTTTCACTTCAGGTCGGGGTTTGGGCCATGGATGGGCGCAATTGATTTCGACTCCTGGAGATGAATGGCAACCATTCAACATGCATGCAATTGAGGTCCAAGACCGACTTCGACGGGGTCCCAATTGACTTTCATATTCACCACGATATGAAGTTCACAGTTTCCGACCTGACACTCCCCCCGACAAAAAAAAAAACGAGGAAAAGGAGGACACACAAGAAAAGAACCCCCCCAAAAAGAGAGAGAGAAGACAATTCAAACAAAACAACAAAAGAAAAGACCCCCCCTCCCCAAAAAGAAAGAAGAAGAAGAAGAAAGAAGAAAGAAGACAGAAGAAAGAAGAAGAAAGAAGAAAGAAGACAGAAAAAAGAAGAAAGAAGAAGAAAGAAGAAAGAAGACAGAAGAAAGAAGAAGAAAGGAGAAAGAAGAAAGAAGAAAGAAGAAGAAAGAAGAAAGAAGACAGAAGAAAGAAGAAGAAAGAAGAAAGAAGAAAGAAGAAAGAAGAAGAAAGAAGAAAAGAAGAAAAAGAAGAAAGAAGAAAGAAGAAAGAAGAAAGAAGAAAGAAGAAAGAAGAAGAAAGAAGAAAGAAGACAGAAGAAAGAAGAAGAAAGAAGAAAGAAGAAAGAAGAAGAAGAAGAAAGAAGAAAGAAGAAAGAAGAAAGAAGAAGAAAGAAGAAAGAAGAAAGAAGAAAGAAGAAGAAGAAGAAATAAGAAAGAAGAAAGAAGAAAGAAGAAAGAAAGAAGAAAGAAGAAAGAAGAAGAAAGAAGAAAGAAGACAGAAGAAAGAAGAAGAAAGAAGAAAGAAGAAGAGAAGAAGAAGAAGAAAGAAGAAAGAAGAAGAGAAGAAAGAAGAAAGAAGAAAGAAGAAAGAAGAAAGAAGACAGAAGAAAGAAGAAGAAAGAAGAAAGAAGACAGAAGAAAGAAGAAGAAAGAAGAAAGAAGAAAGAAGACAGAAGAAAGAAGAAGAAAGAAGAAAGAAGAAAGAAGAAAGAAGAAAGAAGAAAGAAGAAAGAAGAAAGAAGAAAGAAGAAAGAAGAAAGAAGAAAGAAGAAAGAAGACAGAAGAAAGAAGAAGAAAGAAGAAATAAGACAGAAGAAAGAAGAAGAAAGAAGAAAGAAGACAGAAGAAAGAAGAAGAAAGAAGAAAGAAGAAAGAAGAAAGAAGAAGAAAGAAGAAAGAAGACAGAAGAAAGAAGAAGAAAGAAGAAAGAAGAAAGAAGAAAGAAGAAAGAAGAAAGAAGAAAGAAGAAAGAAGCGAAGAAAGAAGAAAGAAGACAGAAGAAAGAAGAAGAAAGAAGAAAGAAGAAGAAAGAAGAAATAAGAAAGAAGAAAGAAGAAAGAAGAAGACAGAAGAAAGAAGAAGAAAGAAGAAAGAAGAAGAAAGAAGAAAGAAGAAAGAAAGAAGAAAGAAGAAAGAAGAAGAAGAGAAGAAAGAAGAAAGAGAAAGAAGAAGAAAGAAGAAGAAAGAAGAAAGAAGACAGAAGAACAGAAGAAGAAAGAAGAAAGAAGAAAGAAGAAAGAAGAAAGAAGAAAGAAGAAAGAAGAAAGAAGAAAGAAGACAGAAGAAAGAAGAATAAAGAAGAAAGAAGAAAGAAGAAGAAAGAAGAAAGAAGAAAGAAGACAGAAGAAAGAAGAAGAAAGAAGAAAGAAGAAAGAAGGAAAGAAGAAAGAAGAAAGAAGAAATAAGAAAGAAGAAAGAAGAAAGAAGACAGAAGAAAGAAGAAGAAAAAGTTAGAAGAAAGAAGAAAGAAGAAAGAAGAAAGAAGAAGAAAGAATAAAGAAGACAGAAGAAAAGAAGAAGAAAGAAGAAAGAAGACAGAAGAAAGAAGAAGAAAGAAGAAAGAAGAAAGAAGAAAGAAGAAAGAAGAAAGAAGAAGAAAGAAGAAAGAAGAAAGAGTAAAGAAGAAAGAAGAAAGAAGACAGAAGAAAGAAGAAGAAAGAAGAAAGAAGAAAGAAGAAGAAAGAAGAAAGAAGAAAGAAGAAAGAAGAAAGAAGAAAGAAGAAAGAAGAAAGAAGAAAGAAGAAGAAAGAAGAAAGAAGACAGAAGAAAGAAGAAGAAAGAAGCAAGAAGAAAGAAGACAGAAGAAAGAAGAAGAAAGAAGAAAGAAGAAAGAAGAAAGAAGAAAGAAGAAAGAAGAAAGAAGAAAGAAGAAAGAATAAGAAAGAAGAAAGAAGAAAGAAGAAAGAAGAAGAAAGAAGACAGAAGAAAGAAGAAAGAAGAAGAAAGACGAAAGAAGAAAGAAGAAAGAAGAAAGAAGAAGAAAGAAGAAAGAAGAAAGAAGAAAGAATAAAGAAGAAGAAAGAAGAAAGAAGACAGAAGAAAGAAGAAGAAAGAAGAAAGAAGACAGAAGAATGAAGAAAGAAGAAGAAAGAAGACAGAAGAAAGAAGAAGAAAGAAGAAAGAATAAAGAAGAAAGAAGAAGAAAGAAAAAGAAAGAAAGAAGAAAGAAGAAGAAAGAAGAAAGAAGACAGAAGAAAGAAGAAGAAAGAAGAAAGAGAAGAAAGAAGAAGAAAGAAGAAAGAAGAAAGAAGAAAGAAGAAAGAAGAAAGAAGAAAGAAGAAAGAAGAAAGAAGAAAGAAGAAAGAAGAAGAAAGAAGACAGAAGAAAGAAGAAAGAAGAAGAAAGAAGAAAGAAGACAGAAGAAAGAAGAAGAAAGAAGAAAGAAGAAAGAAGAAAGAAGAAGAAAGAAGAAAGAAGACAGAAGAAAGAAGAAGAAAGAAGAAAGAAGAAAGAAGAAAGAAGAAAGAAGAAAGAAGAAAGAAGAAAGAAGCAAGAAGAAAGAAGAAAGAAGACAGAAGAAAGAAAACGAAATAAGAAAGAAGAAAGAAGAAGAAAGAAGAAATAAGAAAGAAGAAAGAAGAAAGAAGAAGACAGAAGAAAGAAGAAGAAAGAAGAAAGAAGAAAGAAAGAAGAAAGAAGAAAGAAGAAAGAAGAAAGAAGAAAGAAGAAAGAAGAAAGAAGAAAGAAGAAAGAAGAAATAAGAAATAAGAAATAAGAAAGAAGAAGAAAGAAGAAAGAAGACAGAAGACAGAAGAAGAAAGAAGAAAGAAGAAAGAAGAAAGAATAAAGAAGAAAGAAGAAAGAAGAAGAAAGAAGAAAGAAGACAGAAGAAAGAAGAAGAAAGAAGACAGAAGAAAGAAGAAGAAAGAAGCAAGAAGAAAGAAGAAAGAAGAAAGAAGAAAGAAGAAAGAAGAAAGAAGAAAGAAGAAAGAAGAAAGAAGACAGAAGAAAGAAGAAGAAAGAAGAAAGAAGAAAGAAGAAAGAAAGAAGAAAGAAGAAAGAAGAAGAAAGAAGAAAGAAGAAAGAAGAAAGAAGAAAGAAGAAATAAGAAAGAAGAAAGAAGAAAGAAGACAGAAGAAAGAAGAAGAAAGAAAAGGCAAGAAAGACGAAATAGAGAGGAGAAAAGAAGAAGAAAGAAAAAGAAGAAGCAAGAGAAAGAAGACACAAGAAAAGAAGACAAGAAAGAAGAAAGAAGAAAGAAGAAGAAAGAAGAAAGAAGACAGAGAAAAAAGAAAAAGAAGAAAGAAGAAAGAAGAAAGAAGAAGAAAGAAGAAAGAAGAAAGAAGAAGAAAGAAGAAAGAAGAAAGAAGAAAGAAGAAGAAAGAAGAAAGAAGAAAGAAGAAAGAAGAAGAAAGAAGAAAGAAGAAAGAAGAAAGAAGAAAGAAGAAAGAAGAAATAAGAAAGAAAAAAGAAGAAAGAAGAAGAAAGAAGAAAGAAGACAGAAGAAAGAAGAAGAAAGAAGCAAGAAGAAAGAAGAAGAAAGAAGAAAGAATAAAGAAGAAAGAAGAAAGAAGAAAGAAGAAAGAAGAAGAAAGAAGAAAGAAGACAGAAGAAGAAGAAGAAAGAAGAACGAAGAAAGAAGACAGAAGAAAGAAGAAGAAAGAAGAAAGAAGACAGAACAAAGAAGAAGAAAGAAGAAAGAAGAAAGAAGAAAGAAGAAGAAAGAAGAAAGAAGAAAGAAGAAAGAAGAAAGAAGAAAGAAGAAGGAGGAAGAAAGAAGAAAGAAGAAGAAAGAAGAAAGAAGAAAGAAGAAAGAATAAAGAAGAAAGAAGACAGAAGAAAGAAGAAGAAAGAAGAAAGAAGAAAGAAGAAAGAAGAAGAGAAGAAAGAAGAAAGAAGAAGAAAGAAGAAAGAAGACAGAAGAAAGAAGAAGAAAGAAGAAAGAAGAAAGAAGAAAGAAGAAAGAAGAAAGAAGAAAGAAGAAAGAAGCAAGAAGAAAGAAGAAAGAAGACAGAAGAAAGAAAACGAAATAAGAAAGAAGAAAGAAGAAGAAAGAAGAAATAAGAAAGAAGAAAGAAGAAAGAAGAAGACAGAAGAAAGAAGAAGAAAGAAGAAAGAAGAAAGAAAGAAGAAAGAAGAAAGAAGAAAGAAGAAAGAAGAAAGAAGAAAGAAGAAAGAAGAAAGAAGAAAGAAGAAATAAGAAATAAGAAATAAGAAAGAAGAAGAAAGAAGAAAGAAGACAGAAGACAGAAGAAGAAAGAAGAAAGAAGAAAGAAGAAAGAATAAAGAAGAAAGAAGAAAGAAGAAGAAAGAAGAAAGAAGACAGAAGAAAGAAGAAAGAAGAAGAAAGAAGAAAGAAGACAGAAGAAAGAAGAATAAAGAAGAAATAAGACAGAAGAAAGAAGAAGAAAGAAGAAAGAAGACAGAAGAAAGAAGAAGAAAGAAGAAAGAAGAAAGAAGAAAGAAGAAGAAAGAAGAAAGAAGAAAGAAGAAGAAAGAAGAAAGAAGACAAAAGAAAGAAGAAGAAAGAAGAAAGAAGAAAGAAGAAAGAAGAAGAAAGAAGAAAGAAGACAGAAGAAAGAAGAAGAAAGAAGAAAGAAGAAAGAAGACAGAAGAAAGAAGAAGAAAGAAGAAAGAAGAAAGAAGAAAGAAGAAGAAAGAAGAAAGAAGAAAGAAGAAGAAAGAAGAAAGAAGACAGAAGAAAGAAGAAGAAAGAAGAAAGAAGAAAGAAGAAAGAAGAAAGAAGAAAGAAGAAAGAAGAAAGAAGCAAGAAGAAAGAAACAAAAGCAAGCACAAACAAAGTAGAAAAGCCAACGTGGGTTTCGCAGGTCCTACGGCTTTGCCTTCCAGGAAGCTTTGGAGAACATGGAGCGTAGCGGCCTCGGATTCGGTCGCTGCTTTTGAAGGGGACCCAATCTGAATCAACCCCGGTTTATTAATACGGGGGGGGGGGGTCCCGGCCCCTGCAAAAGTGGTCTGATTCCCTTCACAGTAAACCCAGGACACCCCCATGATAATTTAAGCAGGGGTTGATGAATAGGGGGTGAACACTGACGCAGGGGGACCCCCAAAATGACTCACGGATGTCCCTTTTGGTAACCCCAAGAAGGGTATGGTACGAAATAAAAAGACACGCCCAAGAAGGGTCCTGGGAAGGGGGAGGGTTGCTAACGGAAACCAGCTGAGTTGGATGATCAGAGGCCATTTCCTTCTAGAACCAGCCAGGGTAGGCTTTAAGGGGACCCACTGTGGATGGACGAAATCCTGCACCAGTTGGAAACCGTGGGAAACCATTGTTGGTTGGTATTTGCAGGGGAATCAACATGTAACCCTGGTAAATGGAAACGTGGACTAAAATCTGCGGTCCGATTCCTGGTGGTTTGATACTGACCCACACCCATTTCAGGGTTTCTCTCAGTGCAGGATTCCATCCAAAGGGAGAAGCCAACCGGCACAGGGGGATTTGTTCGATTCAATCCGCTAGGCGCAGGCCTCTTGAAGTACCAGCAAGGGAAGTCTGGCTGGCCGAAGCCCCAGGAGTGCCTGAGAGATCCAAGTCTGGGAGTGGATGGTTTTTGGATTCCATCAGTTTGTTTTTGGCTTTGCGCGGATTCGGCGGCTCCGGAGAGTGGAAAGGCGATTGCCCGGCTGGCATGCGGGGTTTCAGCAGTTTTCTCTCGCAAAAGAGCAACGATGCCTCTGTTTTTTTTGGCGAGGGGAAGCATCAAGCGGCAGTTCAACCTCTTCGTCGAGGCCGTCCCGGTGGGGCAGAAAGGTAGTCAGTGGTTCAGAGACGCTCTGGTCCCGGTTTCTGATGGTTCCTTGAGTTTCCTTTTGAGCCCGAACTGGCTGGCACCGATTGGCGAGCCCAGCTGGAACCAACCCGCATCTTCGGAACTTCATTTGACTGTGGACTCCAACGAATGGCACGCGGTGTCGGGGGAGGACATGAAGCATGAAGCATGAGGCTGACTAGAAATGCGGCGGGGCAGACAAGGGTTGTGGCGGAAAGAAGCGAAGCACAGAAAGGGCACTGAATCGCTGAATCATGAAGCAATTAATATGGCCATGAATTTCAATAGGGAAACACCTCAAAAGTGATTGGTGGACATGAATCCCCACCTAAATGATGTCCACCAAAGGGTCCTATATTAAAATTCATAGCCATATGGCTCGATCTTACTGGAAGCATGGACCTTAAAGAATCCTTGCCCGGGCAAGTTTGGCTCAAGGGTTTCGGGACTGGCGCCAGGACGGGATGACAGATGATGTCAGCTATGCCTACAGCGGTGGGGAGCCCAATGTGAGAGCTCGACACGATTTGCTTATGGGAACCTTTGTCCTCAAGGTTTGGCCCTGGAGTCAGGAATTGATATGAATCCGTGGTACTCGAAGAATTGGTATCAGTATCATCCTCTGTCAAAGACGCATGGGAGTCTTTTGGTCCACCTGATAGGTCAATTGTTCAACCAAGATGGTGATTTGGGTTCTGTTCAGGGTAGCCTTGTTGGGGTTCGTTTGAAGGGAAGCCAAAGGGAAACTGCGAGCAACCTTCGACTTGAGGCTACGCCCCACTAAGCGTGCGCCTGGTGCAGATGACGAGGAGGGCCAGCCTTCACGACAGCTGGAAGGTTTTCCCCTGCAAGTTGATCTGGACCCCCAAAAACCGGGGGGGGGGTCCCCAACGCAGTTTCCTCTACGTGGGTTCCATGTGTGTGGTGGTAAACTCTTCAAGGTGAAGCCAAAATATGCACCCCGAGCTTGCTGGGGGAAGCTATTCCTTGGTTCCGTCCTATCACCATGTCTGGCGTGAAAGCTCCATCTTCCATCTTCCATTGCGACGGTGGCCAAAACTCTCGTGGGAGCCCGACAGCTTGCGCAGGAGTCAGCCCAAAGGCTGGCTGGCTGTCAAGGATGCCCCGACCTCGGAATTGGAGAGGATTTGGGTGTGGAGTGTTGAGGCTACCCGTTTTAAGTTTGTTTGAACGGGAAACCCAAGGGAAAACCAAACTTGACTGCTACTGGATTGGATCTTTACTTTTTGGTTGAAATAAAGTGTTTTTTTCCACTAAACCCCACAACAAAGAGTGAAACTCACTTTTTGCAGGGGGGTCAACACAGCAACCAAGCAAAGGTGCAGCACCCTTCGGTTTGGCCAGCGACTTGGCACTCGCTCGATCGCTGAGGCTTTGAGCCTGCTGCACGGCCCTGCGCAGGATGGGGTCAGGGGGAAGGATAGGGGGTGTCATTGTTTGGAGGATATACCTTTTTGGGGCTGCTTAAAAGGGAGAGCAAAGGAAACCATCCATTTTACAAGTTGCGAACCACCTCAAAAAGTGGTTGGTCACCAACCCTTTGGGTCCCGAAAGCCAACCAAAAGGGAATTGCCTCAAAAAAGACACCCAAGAGATGGTGTCAAAATCTGTGGACGACCTTTTTGGACCTCCAAAGGCGGCGCATAAAGTCGCTGAATGAAAAAGGCCCTAGATCGAAGAAAACTCAAATCTTTTTGACGTGGGTCTTATTCTTGGTAAATGCTTCGTGCGGACATCTTGAAATGAAGCCTCTGCGCACACATTTGATGCGCTCGGAAGACGGGCACATGCTCAGGACTGGCACTGACACATGGGTGTGGCTCAAGAATCGTTGTCCAAAATGAAGCCCTGGTAAATGGAAAGGCAGACTAAACCTGCGTAACCGCAGCTGTTTAGTTTTGACACCACATAAGCAAAGCGCGCACGTGCCTCGAAAGCCAAGGGGTCGGCGCCGCGCGCCCCTGGCGCTTGAAGCCAGGAGTTGCAGCAGCCTGGCAAGGAGTCGGCGACTCATCCGGGGCATCGTCGCTTTTGAGCCAAGCCGCGCGAGTTCGGCCGAGCCGAGTTACCGTCTGATTGCTTTGATAAGGTCGGTTTGGGCTGCTTGGTGTTGATGCGTTTGATTGTTGTGTTTTCATTGTTAGCTTTATGGTTGGTTTAGTTGGCACTTTTGTTTTTTTGGTGATTTGATTTGGTTGGTTCGTTGGTGCATATGTATAGAAAATGCCAAGCTATATTCTTTAGTTGGCATTTGTTTCGTTGGTTGGGTTTGATCTTTGTTTTGTTGCTTGGTTTGGCTGCTTTGTTTGCCTGGTGGTGATGTTCCTGCAGGATGGTTGGTTGATGTTCCTGTAGGCTCTGCTGAGTATCAACTGTATGTTTATTCGGAAAACCAACGGAAGGCCGGCCGTGAGAAGGCGAGCGAAACAATCCCTTAGTCAGACACGCGCCATTGATGATATCTATGATATCTATGTTCTCAACATCTCGTCTCCTTGGCAGCATCTCTGGCAACAATGTTCCTTTGTTGGTAACATGACCTCATGCTAAGGATTTGTTGTCACTACTGCTTTTTGGTGCGAACATGGCCTTCTTGAGGCAGATGGGTCCTGTCTTTGCCCCGCAGGCCACAAAGGGCACATGTTCACAGCCAGCGTATGATGCATTTGCACCTCGTTGGCCTTCATATCTGTGGCTGAGCCTTTCTTCAGGCAGAAGCAGTTGAGCTCGCCGAAATCGGGATCTTTGTACTTCTTCATCCATTGCTGCGAGGGAACGGATGCTGGTGAAACGGCACAACTATCCTTCCCATCGTCGCGCCTTGGTTTGGCCCCAGTCCTTGAGCAACCCTCTTCATAGATATTCAGACCGGCTGGACTCATGGGTCGACGAAAAACCGGCGCCGAGGGACGCCGCGTCGCCCGTGGTGTTGGTGTGCTTCCTCGGCGTGGGGGCTCAGACGAGGCGAAGCGCAGGTGCGGTGAACATCAAGGAGTGTGCCTTCTTGATGACTTGGCATGTGTGACAAAGGGAACCCGTGGTTTCCTTTCACAGTGTCCCTGTAAAACCACCCCAGGGCACTGGGCACACTCATAGACAACGAAATCACATTTGTTGAAAGCCCATGTGTCACACAACGTACACAGAGACAACACAAGCACACGTAACACCAAGGGTTGTGCACCAGTGAACCAGGACCCTCGGGTTAGCTCCTCCGAGGTGGCGTCACCTACGGGGAGATTGCGGCGCTACGACGCCTGTCAGAGGTGGAGGAGGGGCGCCGGAGGCTCGAGAGAATCCCCGGGTCCCGGGGCGGCGGGGGGCTTTGGACGGATGGCTTGGATCTGCCCGTGGCGAGCGATCGACCAATTTACACGGGGTATAAGGAGCGAAAGAGATGAACAAGAAAGGTCCACTTGCGGATCCGATTCTTTGCTCAGCTTTTGGAATAGTAAAGTTTGCAGGGATCGGTGGTGCCTTTTCCTGGGCTTTCTTATGGCTGGGAAGGACCTAGGACTTGCTAGGGGTGAACTGGCCTTGACGGGAACAAGGCCACGCTGAGAATGCCGGCGTGAGCTTCGAATTCTGGCAAGTGCAAGTGACGGAATACAGTGAACTGCGTGTGGTACGGAGGTTTGTGAGACACACCAGTAAGACCCGAGATTGTCAACACAAAGCCTAGATTGCTCATGTAACAACACTGGTCAGCGTTTTGCTGGATGGAACGCACAGGACTAGCATCTGTAGGACTCTCAAGTTGACCATTTCTTTGTTACTCGCAGATTGGCGAGGGAGCTTCCACCTGGCAGTTTTTTCAAAGGATCCGGGCTTTCGGGCGCGAGTCTTTTTTTTTCTTTTGCGGAGCAGGCTCTTGGACCGGCCCCAAGGTTTTGGGCCTCAACAACAGTCTTGGTTCCTCTTGAGTCTCAAGAGACAAGTCCCAGGTTCACGGGGAACGAACCCAGCTCGAAGAAGTTTATAGACTAAGCCGCACTTAGCGGCATGTCCCGGACCTTGACACAATGCCCGAGTCACAATCAAGACTCCTGGTGCTCAGGTAGACTACCCGAGTCAGTTTAAAGAATCGCAAGGCTAGCTGTGCCTTGATTTTTCGCACATAGACCTTTATCTACGCAGGGTTTGATCGTTGCCCAGTAGGGTTTGGGACTGTGTCGAGAATCTGTCAGTCAACCCGATGGCAGATCGACTGTTCAGGTGGCTTGAGCAGGTGCTGGGGGGCTCCAAATGGCGGACCCCCTTTTTCGATTGATATTTAAAGGGACACTGAAAAGGACAGCAACCATTTTTTGGGGACGCCTATTTTGAGAGACATCCTCAACAACTTCAAGCGACCTTTCGTCGTTTTTCAAATCGGTTTGAGACCAATTTGTTGGCTATCACTAGGGAGATAGTCGGTTCCAGTGGTATTGGCTTTGGCAATCCTTCGGCAAACCGAACAGTGGCAAGTTCTTTGCGCCCCACTCGCAATGATTGAAGAGCTTTGCCAGGTTTCTCATCATGACCACCGAGTTCATCAACTCGAAGAAGCTCTTTGTGTCGAGCTTAGTCGTTTGGCACCCGTTTCTGCCACACTTGAACCATGTTCAGGTCGTTTTGAGGCAGTCATGGCCATCAACCCTGCTGCCATGCTCTTGTCAGGGGGGAATTCTTGTGTGCCTTTCCGCCGGTAGACTTTGGAAGCGGCGCAAAAAACGACACGGCAAGCTACTCCTCCAGTGAGGTCCACAAAAAGCAGACTTTCAGACACATGTAGCGTTGGTGGCGACACCAAGTGCGAATTGGACCTAACAAGATGGGCACAGGTGTGATTTGGAGAAGAAAAAAAACGATGGATACACCCCAGGCTTGGACAAGTTCCCCGCGCAGCAACAATACCCAACAACTTCCAAGTTCCACAAACTTCCAAAGATTTCCAACAAGTTCCAAAGACTTCCAGAACTCGTTCCACAAACTTCCAGCAAGTTGCAAAGGCCTCCAACAAGTTCCACAAACTTCCAAAGACTTCTAAAAACTTCCAAAAAACCACTAAACCAATCCACTAAACCACTGAACCTGGCCAACGGGTCTCTCTTTTCCTTGCCCTCCCCCCCCCCCCTTTTTTTCCTTCCGGCTCGTTCGGCTCAGGAGTCCATGTGCCCAGAGGCGGCCTTCAAACCTGTGGACTTGGAGCCCGCCAAGACCAGGCCGGGCGTCTCGCCGCGCGGTTCGCGTTACGCCGCTCTCGCTGGAGTCTCGGGGGGCGTTCTCTGGATCTTCGGGTCTCGGGCTTTGCGCCTGGAACAACGGAGAGCCGATGGTTTTTGTTTGCGGCGCCCCTTTTTTGAGGCAAATGCCTTTGCCCTCATTAGAAGGCATTTGTGGGAGGGAAGATCAACTGCCTGTTGAGGGGACCTTTTGTCAGGTGCCGTGTTAGCGGGAGGGAGGGTAAAAACGACGAAACTTAGATGGAGCCTTTGCCATGATTAAGTTGAATCCAAGTTTGGTTCGATTTCGTTTAGTGGTCTTAAGAATCGGAGGCACCTATTAGCAATCATTGCTTGTTTTCACTTCTTGCGATACAATCGCCTATGGAGTACCAACGGGTCATAGATCGGAGGGAAATGATGGGCAATCTCAATTGAATGCGTCTTCAGTCCCTCCAAGCTGGTTGTATGATTGAATTGCGGCAGTCGCGCCGGGCGCCGGGCGCGGCGGCGCGTCGGGGTCAGTCGATTTCAAGCACCGCCTTTGCTTGTGTTTTTGTGTTTTCGTTTCCCCTGCTTCAACTCTGTACATTTGTTTGTTGATTTTCTTCTTTGTATCATTTTGTATCCCCTTGTTTTTTCTTTCTTCGCAGCGGTTTCCACTTGGTTGGTTGGTCGGTCCGTCTGGTGATCTTCGGGGCATCAAAATCGTCTGGTTTCCACTTGGTCCGGGGTTGCTTGCGTAGTTGGATGATGCCGGCAGCAACTTGGTGGTTTGGATTGGTGGTTTGGGGATTGAACTCTGGCTTTTGTAGAGGCTAAGTGGGAAGCCCTTCCTTAACCAAACCACCAATCCAAACCACCAATTGGAGGGTAGCTGAAATATGTTGTGTTTGGATAAACCTTGTCGCTTCAGCCGAGCTGCCCAACGCCACCTGGTTTGCAGATGGTAGCTTGTTGACTTGCTACCAGTTTCAGCAAGTGCTGTCGATCCGGAGGAACCACATTTTGTCCGGTAGATCCTTTCCAGAAACTTTTCTAGTACCCGGCGGACCTGAACGAGTTCAGGTCCTGGTGAGCCCCTTGCCCAGCCGATGGCATTCAGACGGCTCGAGGTGTCACCCAAGTCTTGTGGGAAGTGCAACACGCACCAGCACAGACAACATTCAGGAAAGAAGGAACCCCTGAAGAGCAGACGGCAGGTCATAAATCCTCCTGTCAGAATTCCCCGTGGACTGCGTGTGTTTGTCTGTCTGTCAGTCTGTCTGTCAGTCTGTCAGTCAGTCAGTCAGTCAGTCTGTCAGTCAGTTAGTCTGTCTGTCTGTCTGCCTGCCTGCCTGCCTGTCTGCCTGTCTGTCTGCCTGTCTGTCTGTCTGTCTGTCAGTCTGTCAGTCAGTCAGTCTGTCTGTCTGTCTGTCTGTGTGTGTCTGTGTGCGTCGCTCAGCCGCTGTCAGCGTGGGACTGGGGGGTTGAGAATTGGGGGTGTTTCTCAAAATAGGCGTACCCTCTGTGAATGGCAAGGACACCCATTTGGGTGAATTATAACGACCTCACGGGACCGAATTCACCCCACAATGTGCGGAGTAGCCCCCCAACCACCGCAAGTTTCAGGTTGGTGAAATATTATAATTCACCCAGATTTCTTGGGGTCCGCTTTGAGAAAAACATCGCCCATGTGCAGGCCTCAAGAGAAGCGCGGCGGCTTCGGGCCCGGGGGCCCAACCCACTTTTGGGATGGGGACTATCCCCCAAAAATGGGGTTCCGAATGGAGTCCTTCCTTTCTCCATGGGAAACAGATGGCCCAAAAATGTTCGGCTTCCTTTCCCCATAAAAACGCAGATTCGATGGGGATGGGCTCCTTTTGTGAGCCGAGGCAGCCCAAGAGGGCAGAGACCGGCCAGGAATTCGACTAGCCGGGCAAGGGTGTGTCTTATTTGCGTCCTGAAGGGGTCGTCGTGTCTCCCGTCGCAGTGCCTGAGGTTTTGGCCCACTGGCAGATAGAGCTGGCGATGGAGCCAGGTGCGGGCTTGAGGATCACGGGCGATTGGACTGTGCGAGGAAGCCAGGCAAACAACTGCCCATCAGCAGCCAAACGTCAACGCCAAAAAGGTACACTGCTTGCTGGGATGATTTTGAATTACACATACATCCCCAAAATGCACACTACCAAATTTTGTACCCAATAATTTCCGTTGCCACCCACAAAAAATCGATTTACTCCCTAAACGATGTCCACCATTTCCCCCGATTTAATGTTGGATCTCAGGCGCGACGTGCCCAACCAGACCTTGCTTCGAGTCGGAGACCTTTGCAGGGCTCGCGGCGGCTTTGCCGCCAAAGCGCCGAGCCAAGCGGCCGTGCAGCGGCCATGGGGCGGAAGCTGGGAGGCGGTTGGAATTCACAGAAGCTCCCCCTGGATGGGGAAAAGGATTGCCGGATGGGGCATTGGGAGGTAAGCTATGCTTGCCTGCCGCGCCTGGCCGCCCAGTGCACATGGCAGCGCGCGGCAAAAAGAAGAGCAGGGAGCGAGCTGACCGCGCACGTCTTGTAGAGGTGGCCGGTGCCCAAAGTTGCTCGACAGGATGCCAGAGCTGCTGAATGAGTGGGTTGGAGTAGCGAGGGCGTGATTGGCAAAAAAGCGGGGCGCGGACTAGAAAGCTGGTCAAGAGTGGACGCCACCTCCGTATATCAGCAGACATGAAGTTGAAAAGAGTTTGATCGGGAACCGGACTCGCACGTGTGTTTGGGCAATTTAATGGCTGGAGGAGGCTGCTTTGTGCATGTTTTGCGATGACTGCTTTGTGCATGTTTTGCGATGACCCCCACTCAACCAGTGTGGAGTTGCGCCATCACATGCTGGCTTCTGAAGTTTCCAGACCTTGGTATGCTATGCTCAGGAGCCCACATATGCCAACCAGTGGCCACAGTTGACAAGAGTCTCAGAGATGTGTTTGAAGAGGGTTGTGAACGGAGGCTGTGAATGCGTGGAGCCTTGGATGGGCATCAAAACTTACCACTTGGGATTGGTGGATCTGACTCTTCCAACTTGAAGCTTGGGATTGGAGCTTGGTTTGCTGAAAGAAGACTGGCAACGCATGTCCTGCGAAGAACAGGGGTCCCTAAATTTCCCTTTTTGGCGATTTTAGACATCACCTTTTTGGCCCATGAAAGGTGAAGAGTCTCTTGGGGGGGGGGG